GACGCATTCTCTGTCCTGTGCAAGCGCTGCTATGGCTGCGCGCCTGATACCTATGCCATCTCCCAGGCCGGCACCAGTTGAGCTGGTCAACCAAGAGATTAAATGTGCCTTTCGGCTTTCTTCGTTAGATACTATCTTCTCGATGATGCCAGTCGCAGCGGATATAACCGAGTTCGGCTTCAGAGGTTCGACATCGCCCAGCTTATTGAGAAATGTCTCTGACAAGTGCTTGAGAACAGCAAAGAGGACCCGCTTCTGCTCCAGTTGAGAGAATTGGCCAAAGAGCTTGAAGAAGGCGTTTTGGCTTTCCTCAGGGCCTAACAGAAGTTCGCTGATAAACTGGTTCATCAGGGCATCTACAAATCTGTTAGTGACATTCCTCAAGCTACCGAAGGGATGGCGTGGAGGATGGTGTACTTGCCAGAATAACCCAGGCGAAGTGATCGTATGAAAGCCTCTGCACATAGCTTCGCATCGTCAGACGAGTTGCCACCCTTCGCCCACGCTCCGACACTTCGACCCAGCCACCTGCTGTATTGTTGCCCGTCTGCGATCCAAAGTTGATTCTTGTTGATTTTGTCCGGGTTGGCAATGGCATCTGCCTCGGCTGCAACTGAAATAAGGCGTCCACCGGCTATCAGTGCGATGAACTCATTCGCCATCGGCCGTCTTCTCGCTGTAGACTCTAGCCCAGCGCTGCTCGACGTCCATAGTGCAGCAAGGTAGTCGTCTCCACCCAATACTGCTGAGCTGACCTCGAGTAGCACATTCAGGTTCAGGCTCAAATCTGGGCGCTTTACATCCTTGGCGCTCGCCTTGGACTCTTGAATCAAGGCCTTCATACGGGTGATGATGGCGTTGAGACCTGTAACACTCCTCAAGCATCTAAGCAGCAACTCGACGTCTTTGGGGCTCTCGACATCTTGTATACCAGATCCTCCAGAAGCATCTTCTTTGAGCAAAGGCCAGTAATTGGGAACAATCTCCGAGACGAGGCACTGAATAATTTGCGCAGCCTCGGGACTGGGCGTCGCAAGCCTGAATCCCGTGGCAGCAACACTGCCATCAGTGAGGGACTTGAGGACCCCAATCAGATTGTCATAACCTGGCTGGTTCTTCAGAGTCTCTAGAGCATTCTCTACAGAGAGAGTTTCGGCAGCAGCAGATTTCGGTGGTTGAGGCTTGTTGCTTGTGGCTGCTTCTTCCAAGAATGGTTCGTTTGGCCTTGCCTTGAGGTAGGTAGTGCTGACCGGGGTAAGGAAGTCGTCCATGCTTGATAATCCCTTTTCTGGTGGTGGACTACGGTCCTTGCATGGTACCGTGAGAAAACGAAAAGGGCTTTCTCAAACTGTCACCTCAAAGACCGAAAATCCAGAATAGTGTCGAAATAATTTTCGCTGATTGCTCTGAGTTGTGATTGCAATATCAGATGGGAGTTCTGTTCGTTAGGAATAATATGTCCCCCGACTGCCTCTATGAATGGATGGACAGACACCCAAGCCCAAAGAGTGAAGGACCGGTGGGGTTGTCTTTCCACACCCCACTCTACTGTAGACACCCCCATAGAAGGCCCCAAGGTCGGTAGGTTCCTAGGTACCTTAGGTAAGGTACCTAGGCAAGGTTTCCATTGAGGCAGGCATCTTATCGATAACAATTCTGCCGATAAGCCTTATCAGGTACGGACATAGGTAAGGTAAGGTAGGCTCACCTGGCCCTATATAGGTAGGTATCGTCATGTCGGCCCCTCCACCTCCCGAAGCTCACCCTGGTTGAGAACCCAAGGAACAAACAACAAAGTGATCACACCGAACATCACCTACAAGTCAATCCGATTCGAGCGCTCCTCACGATGGCTACCGAAGCACCTTTCCCGGTAGCGGCACATCAAGTCGATGAGTCAAAGAGATGGTTCGCCTCTCATGCTACAAGTCGTCAGTTGTCGCACTCAATCGCTGACCATAGCATGGTACAGGACCTATCTCGACAACATTCGCAAGACCCCAGGACCCTTCAGCGATCCTGATGTGGCCGGAACGGAGGAGGCTTTTGAACAGTTTGACAAGATCAAGGTCCTGTATGGTATTGCATGATCCAATGAGTCGGTGCTGTCTACTAACACATCGTGTAGGGTAATGTTGGTGATCCCCTACTCGAACACGATAACTACGACTGACATTATACAAGTGGCGCCGGAGGTCTTGGATGTGAGATTTTAAAGAACTTGGCCATGTCGAAGTTCAAGGATATTCATGTCATTGACATGGGTAAGCCGTACCCTGTCTCGCCGCTCTACTCAAGATCTGACATTTGCTTGGCCAGATACTATCGACATCTCGAACCTAAATCGGCAATTCCTCTTCAGAAAGTCCGACGTCGGCAAGTACAAGGCTGAAGTCGCGGCTCAGTTCGTCATGCGTCGTGTCAAGGGTGTCAGCATTACAGCCCATAACTGCGCCATTCAAGATTTTGGTCAAGACTTCTACAAACAATTCCAGTTCGTCATATGTGGATTGGACAGCATCGAGGCCCGCAGGTGGATCAACGCGACCCTCGTACAGATTGCTGAAGAAGGCGAGGACCCGGATTCATTGATTCCCATGATAGATGGGGGCACAGAGGGTTTTAAGGGTCAGGCTCGAGTCATCGTACCTTCGATTACATCTTGTATCGAATGCCAACTGGACATGCACGCACCGAGAGCCGCTGTTCCTCTCTGCACAATCGCCTCAATCCCCCGACAACCAGAGCACTGCATTGAGTGGGCACACGTCATCGCCTGGGACCAGGAGAAGCCGTTTCCAAAGCTGGACAAGGACGACACTACCCATGTGTCCTGGCTGTACCAAAAGGCTCTTACACGTGCCCAAGAATTCAATATTACAGGCGTCACTTACGCCCTGACCCAGGGAGTCATCAAGAACATCATTCCCGCCATCGCATCCACAAACGCCATCATTGCGGCAGCATGCTGCAATGAAGCCTTTAAGCTCGCCAGCTCGGCCGCGCCAACGCTTGGAATGGAGGAAAACTATATGATGTATTCTGGAAATGACAGCATCTACACCTACACCTTCAAGCACGAGAAGAAAGACGACTGCCCCGTCTGTGGACAGGAATCGCGGCCGCTCGAGGTCGACCCCGACAGCACACTCCAAGACCTGGTGGACTCGTTTGCCATCCGTCCCGAGGCACAATTGAAAAAGCCTTCATTCAGAGCCGCCAATAAGACCTTGTACATGCAGTTTCCGCCCAGCCTGGAAGAGAAAACACGGGCCAACCTTGGAAAGACCATCAAGGAGCTCGAGCTGGAAGATGGGCAAAATGTTATTGTCACGGATCCTGCTTTCCCTCTGGAATTCAACTTCTACCTGCGGTTCAAGAAGGCCACATAGATAGATACTCAGCATTTACGTGGGATGATGATGATAATAGCATTTTGGGAATGTCAAAAGGCATGGCATATCAGGTGTACTCGCACCAAAAGAAGCAACTAGACGAATGTAGCAAATAAAACCGAGTGTCATTATGAACTTTTTTCTTTCTTTCCATTGCCAGCCAGCCCTTGCAAAACCAGAAACACGGGATATCTATAAGTATGGTACATGTGCAGTGATGCTTCATCTAACCATGTTGATGACCTGCTGCTCAAGACGGATACACCTCGTCTTGAACTGCTTAACCGACTCCAAAAACAATTCGTCGCTGTCCCACTGTCCTGTGCTCTCAATGGAGAAGATAAAGTGATCACGCACCCGGCCCAGCTTGACCTTGCCCTCGAATTCGGGGTGGCGCAAGCACTCACGACTGACTGTATCTCTCATGGCGTCCTTGACCACAGCCTTCTTCTCGCCCTCGTGACCCTCGTATCCGCTGCCGGCAACGGCGGCCTCCTTCTTTGTGACCTTTTCGAAGCCAATGACGCCTTGGGGGAAGCACTTAGCAAACTTGTCCGCGTCCTGGCCGAGGATTGGCCGCGTGATGGTGATGGTGGGCATGAGACGGTACGAAGCGGTAGCGACGGGGGAGAATTTGGCGTGGTCGGAGCCGATACCCTTGTGCATGTGCATGTCGAGCTCGATGCACTGGCCGGGCCGCAGCTTGGCGATGAGGATGTCGGGGTTGACGGGGCGGATGGCGTCCTCGCCGGAGAAGAACTCGACCTGGCGGCCGGTGGGGACGAACTCAATGTCCCTTGCGTAGACGCTCGCGTGGTGGAAGGCCTTTGCCGGGTCCGTCTCGCCGGGGGCGGCATCCGGGTTGCGGGTGCACTCGATGCGCAGGCGCAGCTGGACGGTGTTGTAGTCGAAGGAGCCCTTGCCGCCCTGCTCGGGCTTGCGGTACCACTTTAGAAACTTGTGCAGGCCCTCGGGGTTTCCGGTGAAAGGGATGAGACCGAGGCGGTGGGCGAGGACCTCGTCCTGGATCACCGAGGTGTTGTTCTCAATGTAGACGTTCTCGATGGCGATGGTAGGGATCTCGGCGATGAGGGTGCGGCGGAAGGCGTTTGCGATGGAGGCGTCGACGCCGATGAGGGAGAAGGAGGCTTCGTGCTGGGCATTGTGGTGGAACTGGACGCGGAAGTTGGAGGCGAAACGGTCGAGGTCCCAGGCGTGGTCCTCGCCGGCGTAGGTGCCCGGGTAGTCGGTCGAAGTCACATCAGTGACAGTTTCCTTATTGATACCGACTATCTGCAAGGAGTGGTCAGTATGGGAGAATCGCACCTCGAGGACAATGTGAATCGAATTGACTTACCCTCCGCCGGTCCAGCTCGGCTTGACTGGGTGTTGAGGAGGGTGCCATGGTTGTTTGCGGTATGGCTGGACTGCGACTGCGAAAAGTTGCGATCGATGGAAATGCAAAATAATTTTTTGGAGGACCCCTCTATCCACCGAGACTATGCGGCTTACGTACACGCCCCCTGGATCGTTAATGCCAACCCCCCTACTCCGAATGCGTTCTGGAAGAAAAAAATCTGGAGAAGCTGAGTGGGGCACTGAACGTCACAACGGACAGTATCGATGTACCTTAGTTGCGACTCGCGAGATCATCACCCAATTCGACGGGACGGTCTGTCGTTCAGGATCACGAGAAATCACAATGCTTGATATACCGGCTCGAGTGTCTGCCGAGACAATTTTTGCGTGTAGCTGTTCTAGGTCTTCCTGATAGTCATTTCTTGTCAGTGACATCCAGGTGTCGTTGATTTTTTTGGTAGTTCCCCCAACACCGGGCGTAAACATGCTAGTCGTGATCCAAAAGGACCAGACCATGAGGCTATCGCGAACGAAGATGGCATTCACTGAAGACTTACAATGATCACTGCAAACGCGCACCCAACGAATCGTAAATATCTCTTAGACAGTTGACTAATGCTAGAATTGATACCTTACGTAGTGAAGGGCAGTTCGATGGTTTTTACGGAGTAATGTAACTTAAACGCATATGCTCCCTCCATTGCCATGGTCCATCTCGGCTACATGATGTAGCGGGTATCTCTACATTTGGTGATGAGAACAGGTTCTGAGTTGATGTGAGTCTACGAATACGATGACGGTATTCCAGTGATCTATCGACATCGAGAGGCAACACCAACATAGGTAGGTACCATGCCATCTGACCTTGAATCAGGTGGGTGGCTGCTAGGTAGAGGAGCGCACTGGATGAGGACAATGAGTCTTCTCTCCTATTCCATCTTATAAGCCGAATACGTATCTAGCATAAGAATATCCGGTGGGAAGGAGCAAGTGTAGCAAAGGCAGGTGCCACGGGAAGTAAAGTTTCGGGGGCAAGAGCGACCCAGACTTGCCGCACCTTCCCCCGTCAATAACATCGCTCTGTCCACAGGAATATTTCCTGCAAAGCTCGCTGCCCTTCTTTCTTTTCGATTCACTCATCCCTTCTCACCGCACCTCAGTTCAAGTTCGTAGCCTTTCATTCTTTCCTCGAAAACACGAAGCTGGTTGCAAGCCTCTCATCCGCAGGAGTAGTCTTCTCATCGTTATCGTTGGTATCTGTGTCCCTAACACAAATGAATCATATTTTCCTGTTCGAAGTAAGAGACGAGACTCCCCAGATACTCATCTCTTCCATTCAAACCCTTCGTCAAAGGGTTCCATTGACCATTGTTTAGATTCGAGGCTATTTTGCGATTGTCGTGGCCATCACAGACATCACAGACGCCACCACTCGATTTCGCATTACTACTTCCTTGATTTGGGACTGAATCCTTGTACGAGCTTTCTTTCACACTCGACTCACTGATACCGCCCACTCCAGCAGCAATGGTGGTGAATGTAAGCACCAGTGTGTCGCCTTGGCGATGCGATGCCTCGGCGGCAGATGATGTCCATCCTCACTCTGCCACTGCAGCGTTCCAGCAGCAGCACATGCCGGACCCGCGTTACTCGAGGGAGATTTTCGAGGTCAGTGGCAACAATCATATCTCTCCTTCCTTCTTCTTCCTTTTTAGTACATTGTTTTGACTTCTAGCAGACTTGCTCCATCCCAGTCAAGATCGGAAATCCTCCCCTAGCTCCCAAGCCCGCGTTCGCAACCACGATGTCGAAGAAAAAGTTGTCTGGCAAACAAATTGCCTCCTCTGACTCTTCCGGTCGCAAGAAGAGCCGTAGAGACCGTCTCTCTGCGCTGTTTGGCCACAGCCCCGAGCGGGTTGACGATGCCGCTGACGACAAGACCGCCCCCCATGACGAAGCCACGCCTACCAAGGCCACCGCAAGCAACCGACGTGAGAATGAAAATCATCTTCAGAACTCTGCCGCTAACCTCGAGGATGATCCCAAGGAGAATGGTACTCGCGACTCTGTCGTCACCATTGTTACGACTCGTTCTGTGACTACCGAAGACAAGGATGCGCATGAGTCTGGCGCCGCGGCTCCGGCGGACAAGATTGACACCATCGATTTCGCCAATAAGAATCAGATCCGAGGTAAGACCCTCGAAGTGAAGCCTTGTACTAAGCTGACTATCGACGAAGCAATTTCGAACCCGTCTCCGAGTCGCATGACTAAGTTGCCTATCCATCGCCACAAGAGAGCTTCCAGCTCTTTCAAGATTGTCGACAGGGACTCTGCTGACGCTGTGCTCCTCTCTGCTTTTTCTTACAATCCATCCCAGGAGAAGAAGAACAGTGCTGTTGCGAAGCCAAGCACTCAGGCGCCTTCTTCTACTCAGCTTGCCCAGCATAACCAGCGCCATGATCAGGAGGCTCCTTTGCTGCCATCGTCTACATACTCCGGCCCTACCATCCACAATAGTGAACCTCAGAACAAGCACAGTCAGAGCAAGCTCAAGGGCTACTCTCATGCCAATCATGACTGCGCTCTCTCTTCTTACACAGAGCCCGGTTCTGCGATCAAGATCACCGACACCGACGAGGAGATTGCTAGAAAGCTCGAAGCTACGGCTTTCACTCCTGCTGCAGTGGCCCCTCCTCCTAATCCCCTTCTCAGCGCGCTGAAGACTTACGTCTCCGATAAGTCTCCAGGTGAGAAGAAGGTCCGCTTCGCCGCGGGCTCTTCCGTCAAGTCTGGCGATAGCGACAATGAGAGCGGAGTTTCGGACGATTCGGACAAGACCATCAAGCCTGGTACTGGAGGCATGAAAGCGGCCTCAAATTCTATTCTCTCGCCTACAGTCTGGGACAAGAGTGCTGAGCCCAAGATCTGGGTCAAGAACGGCAAGCCCACCCTCTTCCAGCCTCAGAAAGATCCCGGCTACTACACCAACCCGCTTTGGTCCCGCCAATATCCCGAGATTCTCTCAGATGACCCCCGAGTTAACCCCTATGGTCCGAGCATCGCCGGAAGCACCCCGTCCACGGATGGAAGCCAGTATTCTGACGCACCCGCAGCCCGCGCCGTCACCGACTTCGAAGTGGGTAACAAGCTCCATTCCAATGGCGAATCCAGCACCAACGTGAACTTCGGCACGGGTGCTGCGCCTGCTCGCACTCTCTTCACTAGAACCACTCGAGGAACTATGCCTTCGCCCCCGGGTGCCAACCAGAACTTCGTCGGCCGTGACTTCCCCGAAATTCCTACTGTCCCCGCTGGATTCGGCATGCCACCTCTTTATAGAGGCCAGATCAAGTTGGAGATTGGTGGCCGCCGCTTCGTCAGCTCTATGGATGTTCTCGAGAGAAGCCCCTGGTTCAAATATATCTTCTCCATCAACTTCCGCGATTGGTACCGCGATGGCGTCTTCCACTTCGACAACGATGGAGATCTCTTTGCTCACATTCTGCGCTTCCTTCGCACCGGCATGTATCCACTCTTCTGGGATGCGCGCAACGGCTTCGACTATGCCATGTATGCGATGATCCAGCAGCAAGCTCGCTACTACATGCTGTACGACCTCGAGGCTTGGATTGCGCAGCAGAAGTACCAGGATGTGGTGGAGACCCAGGTCATTCACCAGAAGTTCATCATCCCGAACTCTCAGGGCTGGATTCACGAGCAGAGTCTCACGGGTCTTGACACCTCCGAGATCTCTGGCGTAGCTGAACACCCCAATGTGGCCCTCGGTCGCCAGTCTGAGAGCCAGGCACCTGTTGCGGACATGTTCTTTTCTGATAACGGAGTCAACTCGAAGGGGAAGGCCAAGGCAATCGCGCCTCAGCAGGACGGCCCTGATGGTGCCGTGGCGCTGTTCACCACCGAGAAGGTTGTCAAGGTTCACATGAACCAACTCCGCCCTTTATAAGAGTTGAACTCGTCTCACTTGTAACATGTTGGAGTATTCGGACGATTTTGTCGTGGGAGGGAACGGGAATGCGTACTGGATTTGTTTTTTGAGAACCTTTGCTGTTCCATATGCAGCTCGTTTGGCCATGGTAATGAGGGGATGGATATGGCCCGACATTTGTTCTCTAGGAATCAAACTTTGCTCAGTGTGTAGGCCAAAAGTCCTTGGCTAAGGACTGCTTGAGCCGTTCAACGCAGGCCAACGCAGATAGTCTCAACTCAAATGAAAATTGCAATTGAAAAAAAATGAGGTATCACCGTGCTCATCATACATTGGCCAAGATGTTCATCATAATCCTAATTCTAGCAGGAAGCATTCGCTCCTGCAAGATCGTGTCACCTTCCCGAGCTGGTGGAAACGTCCGCTTTTTGCTTCCGATCTTGCCGTCATTGGAGTACACAGTTGTCTTCTCAATATTGTACACCGGGCTTTTGGTGGATGGAGTTCTTTCCTCAGGACGGTACGTTTTTCTGATAACAGCATATGATGTTCTAATCCGAATTGGACGTTGCTTTCTCTTGGGCTCACTTCGCCGATCGGGAATTTGAGACTGAATTCTGGTGCTATCGGATATTCGAATAGCAGGACTTATGCGTGGAGTACGGTCTTCTTGGACTGGTGAGGCGTTCCTTCGTCTCGGGGAGGCCTCTGTGCTTCGAGCTTCATCATCTTGGCCAACTACAGTCGTGGCTTTGCTGTCTTCGGCGGCCTGTACCTGTGGAGTTGGTCTCTCTTCTTCTTCTTCTTCTTCTTCTTCTTCTTCTTCATGTTCAACATGTATGCTGATTTCTACTGGTTCGTCTGCTTGACTTCCTTTGTTTGCAATCCCTTCAGTGTCGGGTACGTTCATCACTGATGTTGACTCCTGTTGGCCGTCCTGATTCCCTTCCTGCGACTCCTCTTGAATCATATTCTTGTTTTCAACAGAATAATTTTGTGCTTCGATATCTTGAGACATTTCTTGATTCTCTGTTTCTTTCTGAGTAGTCACAATGACGACATCTAGTTCACTTGGAACGGTCGGTACTGATGGCTCGTCTACCTCAGTCGAGACCGACCAATTCAATGTCGAAAGCGTGCTCTCCGCCGGATCTGCCTTTGGGCAATTGGCCTTGAAGCCAGCCAAATTGCTATAAGCACTGCTTATTCTACCTTTCAGTAACTCATTAAACCTCTGAGCAAGGTCGAGGCGGCTAGTGACTTGCGGTATTTTCCATGACGGGTATAACCTCCCATGGCAGCGGGACGTGTAAAATGTCTTTTCAGCTTCAATAAAGGCGTTGCAGAGGTAGCATGCGTCTTTGCTGGATCGAATGACTCTGGGAGGAAGGTCTGAATGGCGGCTCTTGAGATGATAGTGGTATATCAGCTGAACTTCAGCGTGGACCTTTGCGTTCTTCAGCACATCCTTGGCCTGATTTTCGAATACAACGTTGACATCCTGATGGTTTTCTTGTGACCAGGCATCCCTGAGGACCCGATCGGGGCCTTTCGTGATTCCATTCCT